AGTCAAGAAAATAGATGGTCGATGCGACCTCGTTATCAGGAGGATGTACTAACCCTTTCAGATGATAAACATGGAGATACACAAGGAACAGTTTTGTCATTCTGATATTAATGATAATCATTTGTAAGTACGTTTCAGATTTTGAATCTTTCGAATGCAACCACTCTGGGCTATATTCTATGATAACAGATGGAATATAAAAAATCCATTTCGGATTTATCACTAGATGACTGAAGTTTGGGCTGAGTACGCAGTACTCGTAACAGTAAGCGACTACGCATAGCTACGTTCATTAAGAAAACAACTTAGAAACAACATAAACAACACAAATGAGACCGTAATTTCACTGATTTCACAAAAACTATATTCCTGAGAATAAAATAAATATGTTAAATGAAAGACTTATCGATAACATCATATATATACATCATAATAATTCTCTTATATCACACGGTACTTTCTGGAATGGCAACAGTTCGTTCTGGCCATGAATCACCCGTTAATGTAGAATCACGCTCTGAATCGGTTGGACATGTGGAACAAGGAGTAGCTGAGCTTCTTGGAGACGATAAGCTACTCCCATCACGTAAACGAATCTCACTCATAGAGACAGGTCTCATAGATTTCCTATTAGGAGATTGGAAGGTATGCATTGTAGGGATCTCGGCATACGGATTTGGATTTTGATTCACTCTACTCCTGAAAAATTGAGAAATAACTTGATCATTTTCCACAATACATACCTTCTAGGTGTTCTAGTAGAATAGTAAGTGGAGTCGGAATAATCGCCACTGCGAACCGTATATGTTTCATCAGTAGTTCTTGACGCTGAGCTACCTCTTGTATAGGAAGTAGCAGATTGATCAGCTCTACAATTAGTTTCTTATAATTTCAAAACATTCAATTAACGAACCTAGATGTATCCATGTATGTTTTCTCATATGTTCTTTCTGTGGAAGTTGCAGAACAGCTAGTTCTTTCTGTTTCCGTAGGAGATCTAGTAGTTCCAGAACGAGCATTGGTTCGGCTCGCTCCAAAGGAATCTCCATAGGCATTTATTGTACTGCCATGAACACTTCCCATTGCTGAGTGATGACTTGGAGCACCTGCAAGTCCCCATCTCTTACTTTCTTGCTGTGCTTTTCTGAATGTTACTATTTCATGTTCAATACGAAGACTCGAACTAACCTTTGCAGCTTTATACTCGCTCTAATGATCTTCTTCCTCTCAATCGTTTCTTCTTTTCGTCGATGTGATTTTACGCACCAACACAAGCCGAATAGGAACACCAATGCGAATAGTATCGCAACAATAACCAGTGCAATAATGGTACCACTTCTCCACATAATCGGATCATCATACGTTTGGATTCCTGAAAAAGGAAATTATAATGATAAATTATATCAAAGCCGGACCTCTCTCGCAAAGGAAGGGTAGCAGACTATTGCAGTTAACACTTCCGACTTTACCATTCCGAGCACTCAACCATCCACAATGAGAAGGAGGAATATGAGCAGAAGAAATCCACACATGGGTATCTGAGGGCATCTTTAAAACATAATTAATCATTGATCATCAAAGAAGTGAGGAAACCTCAAATGAAGAGAATCTCTCCTGATCTGTAACAAACTGAGTAGCCATTTCATCGAGACGATTGGCTAACGCTTTCTGCCGAGCATCTTCAGCGCGTAGATATGGAACAAAAGCACCCAACTCCTTCAAGTAAGCAATTTATACAAACACTCACTACATTTACTTACTTCACAGTATGCTACAGCTCTGCTGTAAGTAGCTGCTCCACCCACAAATAGATAACACGATTGAAATTCAGTATGACCGCCTGTAAACCAGCCAGCCGGGCAATTTCCCTGAACCAAAGAAGTGTTCGTCTCCAAGACAGGTTGATAGTCGACCTGGAAATATTCGAAATCATTATAAATATATATAAAAGGAACATGAAAGTGCTTCAAAGAAAAGCAAAAGTTTCTGGAGATATGGGGAATTGAACCCCAGCCCTCTCCCATGCTAAGGGAGCGCTCTACCACTGAGCTATATCCCCAACGTTTCTCTCGTCGCATTTTCAAATTATGTTGTGGCGGAGAAAAACCGGTCTATTTCAAACATAAATGTGTAAATATTTACCCGTAAAAGGTAAGGATAGTCCGAATGATCAACAATTTTTCCAGCGGCTACTCCGTCAGTTCCGGGGTATCCCCAGTAGTTCTGTCTAGCGTTGACTGTTCCCATATCATATCTGAAGATAAAAGTATATTTATGAACAGTAAACAAGAACATACTGTGTCTGGCGTGCAGCAGCTAACTCATAGCTGTTCCTAGGATTATTGAACACATTTCCTTTGTATTGTTGGTTCGCAGTTCCCGCTGTATATATAATATTATAAACGAATTATGACCATGTATATACCTAAGATAGTGGATCGATAACGTTCAGTTTCTGTTCCTACATGTGTCCACCAATCGTATGAGATTCCTTGTTGACTCAGAACTTGACGCTTGGGTCTTCGTAAAAATTCATCATGATCTTCCAAAGGCTGATAACCGAAAGCTTCTTTGTATTGATGTCCATGACCCAAAGCTAAGTTATCGTCAAAGTTGTTGTAAAGGAAAACTTGTGTCTCCGAGGTAATCCTAGAATATGGTTATATCTACGGCAGAGGAGAAAACGATTTACCTCGAGTAACCATGAGTGTCCACAGTATGTAATCCAGTATTATATGAAAAAACATTTTTCGTCATATTGAGCGACATGTCATGCACAAGCACAGTATCATGATACAACGCATAATTCATGGATACCACGTTGTTGATCATAGTTACCATTTGATAGTTATTACCAACGAACGCTATTGTCGTGGAATTAGAATTCCAAGAGAATAGGTTGTTTTTTATAATAGCCGTCAAACGAGCTACAGCGGAGGAAGATTTTGCAGAAACTAACAGACCACCACGGTTATGAGCTAATGAGTTTCCTCGGAAAAGCAGAACCTAGAACAAATCATGTTTAAAAAAAGAGCACATGAGTGAATGAAAAACCATTGTGTTGTGAAGCTGAAGCTGAACAGCTTGATGAGTAGTTGAAACGTTCCCGAATAGGTTAATTCCATTGTAGCTTATGGAGCAACTTTCTAAAACGGTGTTTACATAAAAATGATTATCAAGCTAATACTAACCAATGATGACGTTCGGACTCATTTCCCCACTGTTTTGGTAATCAATGGCTCCCCGATCGTTATGATCTATCCGAGAAGCTCTGATCACAACTTCATCTATCGGATCTGAATTAGAAACATTTTAAAAAAAAAAGAAAATATATATGGCTTACGTGAATCCGGACTGCTTGGTGTGGCAGATATTTCTGCAAGGAATCCATAATTTCCATCTGATGCAGTAGCACGCAGATGAAGGGAGACTGTTTCAGCGGAGACAGACTGAGAGAAAGGAGTTGCTTCAATGTCTGTCCTGTATTCAGCTAGTAATGTTGATGGCAGGAAGCTATCAGAGCTGTAAACCCTTAAGGCATCTGCCCTTCCAAGATCAACAGGGTTCGAATATAAATTGACCTGTAAAGAAAGTTAGCAAACATCGCACTGTTGGGGCTCACCTGTAAGAATCGGAAGGAAAGTTTTCGCCCAGGCGATGTAAATATTTTCACGCAGTCAACAGGCATTGAATCATACTTATAATACACTAAGATTCTATTCAACACAGTGCGGTTTTTCACAGCTGAGCACATATCTAATATACCTTGAGCATTATAAGGTATATTAAGAGGACTTATAGGAGCGTCTGTAATGAAAAGAAACTATTAAGATTAAAGGTATGAGGACCTCACCAGCATTTGCATTAGGAACTTGCAGATTAGCTGTGACAATTGCAATTCCTTGACCACGATTGTGTGTGACATTCATATGATTCAAAATGACTTTTTCTTGAGGTGAAACTATTTGAACAGCGTGCATGCTGGAGTTTGTGACATTCACATGATCCAAAACAGGAGACCGATAGAAGATTTGCAGCCCAGCAGATTGCCAAGAATCGTTGTGGCCAGATCCTCCCCCAACTACTTCCACATTACGAAGAATAGAACTATCTTTATGAGTTCCAGAATTTAGTTCCAAGTTTCCACGTCCAAAGGTTATGCCTCCCCAGTTTCCGATATAATCGCTGAAAATGATACATAAGAATCAACACGAGAATTTAAAAAACCTATTCAAGGATACATTGAGTCCACAATAGATATAATTGAAATGTTCGTTGTCCATGCACATCCATTGCGAATCATTTCCAGTTAAGCGCAAGTTGCATTTGTCGAAGCTTGGCTCATTTCCTCTGCATTCTCTAGGTTCCATATACGTCTTTCTAATATGAATTTGAGGATTATAATCCCAGTAAGGAGTAATCCAATGATAAGCGTTCATAGTTGGATATCCTAGCTGTCGACAAACAACCTTAAATGCATATAATTACTTCTCGTAGTTTTATGGAAAGTGGAACCTGCGCATTCCGAATTGTGAATTGGCGATCACATGAAGCTACAATTTCTCCTGTTGTGGCATTATGAATCATAAGGAAACCACTTCTTTCGGATTCCGAGCTGTTACTTGTTAACAAAACATCAAACCTTAAGCATATTTATAATGAGGATAAGTTTGAAAAATCAGTACTTTTGGTAGTATGGATCTTCTCGGTACAGTATAGGGAACTCTTTATATACGACATCTGGTCGAGCCCTGTTAGCTCGTTTCTTCCGGATGAAATCATTTATCCGAAGTTCCACATTGCTTCTTTTGTTGCGTAACCTCACACCACTGCTTCTCTTATATCTTGTTCCAATTTTACCTCTGATTTCATCAAACTCAGTCGTATTTATAGGTTTGAACCTGGAAGAATAAGACCATAAACTTGCTGTTATAGATTCAAAACAACCTAATAGGCTCCCAATACGTTCCGTCAGCAATTAAGTCACCGAGAACTAAGATTCGAACGTTCGGCCAGACATGCACTTCTACTCCTCTCTCAATGTTTAATGTAGCACCCGGCATTATGGTTAAGTCTCTTGTGATTCGGTATGGACGATAAGGCTAAAAGGAACTATAGAAACTTCAAGGGATGTTTATTTACCTTATAATAATGAGGGAAGTTGTGCCATTTCTCTTTTATCAGAGTCATGTTCTTTGAATCAAACATTCTTCCTTTCAAGTCATACACAGATGGTTCAACTCTCGTAGCATTGGCTAGTTGACCCTGCAATGTGGGGATTCCAGCTTGAAATTACTTGCAAACAAACCTTGCGACCTCTGAAGTCCCACCAGAAATCTATGAAATGCTCATAGGTCACATAAAATGGACTGTAGTCAGCAAGCGTATAGCTGTTCCAATCATCGAAATCAAATATTCTCTGAGCTATTTCAGCTTCATTACCCATGCCCCACCAATTGAATGTAACGTTCATTGTAGCATAAACATCTTGATACTGTAAAAATTGAGTGAATTGCTGGTAGAGTTTGAATGAACATACCTTGCAGCCAGAAACAAGTTCAAAGTCCATGAGATTGTTTCGAAGACGATTGTAATGAATGTCAACATGCTGTGATCCAAATACACCGACAGCATACGATCTTGGCCACATATCCACATAATCTTCAGATGTCTTTAAAAATCTCATTCATAGCAATATATACTGACTGAGCCTACCTTAATGAAATGGTTGTGGAGGAAGTAGTTATATTGGACATAAGCTGGAACGTTAACTTTTTGCAAATATTGCGAATTGATATCAAATTTGACCATCCAGTGTCCCTGCAAAAGAATATATCATTTTACAATGAAAACGAAAAAGCATACCCAGTTGGTTAGGAATCTGTTACGCTCCATATAAACCGTCTTCTCCATTCCACTCAACTCCATTATACCAGATGACTTTCTTGCATAGTTATCGGTGAAGTTGTTCGATGAAATGTTAGCGAATACATAGTATCCATCCAGTAGTACTCGGAAACCGTTGTTCTGCTCAAAGCGATTCTCAGTCATCCAGAAAGTATGTTGCTGTTTTGATCTTAGATCATAAATGTCCGGCAAGCGAATAGCTATTCCACTGTTGGTATTATTGGCAAATGTATTCGACCAAATATTCCAGTGAAATACATTTGCTGAAGCGAAGAGATCACGGTGTGTCTCGATAACTGGTCCAGAATTATCAACTAGAGAGCAATTATCCAGATGGTAAGTTATCTCCGCAATCGGGGTGTCGGGGACGACAGCATGCTGTGGAGCATGTATCCACATCACAGCTTCCGAATTGCGAGTGAAGTTGACTTTCTGGAACCAAATTTTTTCATTGTTCCAACGGTTGGTTAGAGTTCCGTCAGCGAAGGATAGATTGCTGTAATGAACTGAAGATACTCCATATTGGTTATCCTCCACCCTGGACTGATAGACATGAACAAAACGGTCCAAATACTCCTGAGCATCCAAAAAAAATATCAGCAGAATAAGCCTCGGCTTTCCGTATGATCTTGTATAAGTCATTCGAAGTTGGTTTGAGTTAGATACTATTGGGAAATGGATAGAGTCTCGTCGAGCACTCCATATTCTATTCCCAGAATCATAGAAGACCGCATCTTCGTCAGAAATGTTAGACACAGGATTAACTAATTGTACAGCTATCTTCGATGCTAAACCATACTCAAAGCCGATTGATTCCAGTACGATCTCCTGTTTACACATCTCCATAGGTACTGCAGGACAATCACTTGTTTCTTTGGCAACTAAAAACTTGCGTTGGTTCAACTGGCTTTCGAAAACCTGAAAATATGAGTTAAAAAGCTAAAATTATTATGAAATGTACTTGAATTCTTGAGTGAGTTGTGTTAGGAATTATGAAAACGTTATTGGCTTCTAGCTCAGGTTGTTCTCGGAGTTCTAGCCAAGAAACAATATCTTGCTGTAAGGAAGAAGATACTTTGGGGTTGTACCGAAATCCAGCTTGTCCACTTTGACTCACAGTAACCTGTGATAAATAAAAATATGCTACAGCCGAATACAATTTTTTTACCTCTTCTATAGTTATGCCTGCTGAGCGGAGGTGGACACCGTTTCTTCGATTGTTGGTGATCACACTGTTTCTAATCGCCGGCTTCTTCGTTAAATCATTGTAAACTACATCGATTCCATTCCAGAAGTTGTTCTTGACTTCCAAGTTATGAAACGTGTGATAATTCCAGTCAATTTGTAGAGCGGCGGAAAATTCAGGAACTTTGAAGTCGAAAGAGCCAGCTTTCTCGATAACCCAGTTGTTCATCGTTGTCTGCCCTGTCACAGCAGGAGGACTAGCCAACAGAGAGTAGCGTACACCGGCCCAACGAGGTTCAAAACATCGAAGACCAACAACTTCAGTTGGACGACAACCCGCTGCAACATTGTGTAGAACTCCATCATGACGACATCGCGTGATATCGACTTCGTTTTCTTCACAGCGTATGTTATCCATCCTGATCGGTAAGTCTCCCTTTTCCGGAAACGTCCTCCAGTTTTCGAAAAATTCTGGATCCATAATGAGTCCAAGCTGATTACAAGCCATTCTGGCATGAGTGGCTGTCCACGATCTGTTACAAACTGTCCCCCATTCATCGTCAACAAGAACCTTCAAAAATTTCAATAAATGGGCAAACAATAGAAACATACTTCCAGTCTTCCTTCTATAACCTGATCACTTCCATCTTCATCAACCAAACGAATGTTAGAAACTTTGGGCTGGATGAAAGGAGCTGCGGTAAATATTACTTTCTTCGTGTGCCCGAAAAATTCTGTCCGTAGAAGCTCTCCTTGTACAAGCATTCCAACACTATCTTTGAACTCAAAGATAGAGCCCGGGGCCACAGTCAATTTGGCACCCGAAACCACATGTAAGTCATCGTTAACCGTATATCTTAAAGTAAGAATGAGATAGAATATAACTAGCTCACTTTACCTGCCCGGGGGCAAGTCATGATTTTCATAAATAGCACCACCAAGTTGGAATGGTTCGGCGTCATGTCGGAACTCTCGGAAATACTCTTGCAATCGTGTAATATGAGGATTACGTTGATTACAAACTGCAGCGTAGGGATCCACAACAATTGAAGCTAGCGAATATCGATTAAACTGTAATGAAAAACTTTACATGAATATCATAATGATTAACTACCTGGTCAAATATTTTTCTCATGAACGTGGCAACACTAGGTGTTCCCCAATTGTTCTCCCGAGCATCAATCCATTTGGCATGAGCTGCTAACTCTGTAGCTATCTCATACTCAGCTTGTGGGTTTTTGAAACAATTTCGATGAATGACCACATTACTACTTGATACAACAAGAGCAGCGTATGGTGACGTTCGAGGACGAAGATGTGGTGATGGATTAAAAACAATGTTTTCTCTCACCTAAGTAATGAAGTTACACAAGAAAAAAATAATGACCGTACTTCGTTTTGTTGATTGAAAATAAGTTTCTGTCCTGGAGCATCCTCGTTCAATCCAATCGAAATGATATACTTGGCACGATTGAATTTGAAGGAGTTTTTTGAAATTGTGATCTGTAAAAAAAAGGTGAGTCTAGGTTTAAGGTATAAGCCTACATTCGATCCTAGCCTCCAAAGCCACGGCTGCTCCGAATTCTTTATCAACAGAGCTGTGTCATTATTATTCAAAAATTGATTACTGCTTATGACAGTATGCATATTCACAGCAGGTGAAATACGAACTCCGATCCCTTGGTTACCTGAAACAATCTACTTATCCGTATCCTGACGTTACCCACTAACCTTCAATTCTATTTCCAGTTATATCAACCAATGTTCGAGCAGAATGCTCGCCACGACATGAATGGATTTCCAAAGCTGGATGGTAAAAGTTTCCAAGCATTTCCACCCAGTTAATGAGAACCTGAAGCTTAATGGTTGAACATTTTCATGATTGAAACTAGTACCTTCGGTTCTATATGTCGAATACTCGGGATGCAGAAGTTGCCAACTAGAATACCTCCCCACTCGTTTTGCGCGACAACTGTCGGGAGATAGAAGATGTTGTTCGAGGGTCTTCCTTTGAATATGAACTCCATATGCATAGCCAGAAAAGGAGACGTGTCATTGAAATGGAATGCCGCTCCTCTCCAACGGTTCCTCTCAATTCTAGTGCCGTTAACCATTACGGATCCTCCAGCAAAAGTCACATTCATGCCATCACCCCAGTTATCAACAATTCGGGTTTCGTTGAACCAAATGTCAGCAGCTCCACTCTGAAGAAGTAAAATGTTGAACAACCAGACAAGAGGATGCCTCACCTTCACAAGAAATCCAGCCATTCCCTGATTTTTGCCGATTGTTACGTTAGAAACTGCAGTTCTCTCTCGAATATCATAACATTGGATGCCGTTTCCCGTGTTATTATATATGATAGAGTTAGTGACGTTCAAACCATAGTATGCTTTGTCTAAAAGCAAAATTATGACTTATTGTAATATTTCTATATCCTTACCCATAACTGAAGCATGAATACGGAAGAGCAGATCAACATCTCCGGCAACATAACCAGCATTGTTACCTTCCAGACTATGCTCTAAAGACACAAACATAGGTTGTCCAGAGCTCCTGCAAACAAGTAGAACATGATGAGAGAACAGAAAAATTACTTACTTTATGCTCAAACTTTGAGGATATATCCCATCATGAATAGGTATACGATGTCTCTCTAGAGCACACCCATGGTGATCATCTGTCGCATCACAAACAACAAGTGATGTTACGGTTTGAGGAGGATTGCGATTTCGGACAGACAGGAATTGCAACGAATATGTATAAGGTAGACGAGGTGGAAGAAATACAGCCTGAATAACATAATGAAGACCTATCGCTCAAATTTGAAACATACTATCCAGCAGGGCGACGGCAAGCTGGGATCAACCAAAGTCTTATTTGCCAAATGAGCTGATATGAGATGAGGAAAGAATAGATTGGAAGGTAATTCATGCTTATCACAAATATCAAGCCTTGGCTGCTCTTCGTCATAAATATTCAATTCTCTTCGAGAACCTGAAGCAGTAGTTATGAAAGCTTCTGAGGAACTGTAAACTGACGTATTCCATGGCTCAACAAGTTTGTGCCAATCTTCTGCTTGTACCATATTCCGTCACCCCAGTTTCCTTCAATTCTTGTCATATTGATGAACAACCGTGCATCAGTGGTGTTATCTACAGCTATACCATGTCCACGATTGAATGAGAACGTTGAGTTTGCAATTAAAATAGGACCTGGAGCATATTATGATTATGAATATGAGCCGCAAAGAACACTCTCACCTGAACTCTCATATAAGTACATTCCATCTCGAGCACTCCGTTCTATTCGTAAGCCATTCATTATCGGAGGAACACCCTCAATCCACAGGGCTGATGTTACGTTTTTAGAAACTCTGGAAGATGAAATAAAACTGGTGAAACTGAATTGATCTTTGTTACCCATCATATCCCGCATACAGAATATCTATGAACTCTAATCGACTGGCAGACTCCTTCTGAACAGCCACCATATCGGGATCAGCATTGACGTAATAAAAGGGTGAGTTGAAAATTTGTAAACCTTAAACTCATAACATTTTCAAACATAAATTTTTATTTTTCACCTTTCCAATGACGAGCCCATCCTCTGAATATTGGAGGACCCCAACAAACAATTCCAATATCGTCTTCACCCTATATATTGAGTTCATGAGCAACAATCACACAAATAGAACAAACCTGGCATAAATTTTCGCTCATTTTGATTCGATCGAGATTTGATAGTCCACCACAATCCCACAATGAATTGGCTCCGGGGTGACAATTGGGACGAGGTAAAGCAACAGGATATGATTCATTGTTTCGAAGATACCACTTGTGAAAGCCTTAAGAAGTGAAAATTATGAAAATAAAAACTAATCTGTTTGAGCACATCCGACCGGTCATTATGTTTGAATTCAAATAAATGAAAGACTGTAAGTTGGTTGTGTGCTATTACGCATGCTAATTTTGTTTTGACGCATCACAAGCCGTATGCTAATTACCTGTCTCGTCATTTGCATACGGAAACACCAACAATTAGATTTTGCAGACAATAAATTAGATTCCCTTCCCTTTTTTGAGAGATAAATTGAGAGAATATTTCACATTGTCAAGTCTTGGATATTTCCCAAAATTATTTGTGGGGCTGGGAATGAAAAGATGAATATACTCAAGGTCTTCCCTAATAGTCTGCGAACTGTTCCTTGTTTAGAAAAACTTTTTTTTGGTCCAAGCCAAGAAAAACTAAAGCCAAGTCGAAACTGGATGATTTACAGCAAAGAAGCGAAGGACAAACACAGTTCGACTAATCATGAGCCCAGTTTCCATTTGTTGTAAAGCAAACAATACAATAGATGTTCCAAATGATTCTGGATATGGGGAAATATGCTTCATAATTGACTTCATTTAAACTTCATCCTCTACCAGTGTTCATTCTCATTTCCTTGAGTGGAACAGACTTTTTTGATCGCTTTTTATGCGATCATTTGTCTGTTCATATTGTGTCTCTTTGATTCTGGATTTTTACCGAAAAGGATGCGTTAGCCGGCTTGAGGTGAAATTAGAAAAGAGACCAATTAGAAGGCGGAAGATTCCATAAGAACGCAGCTGTGTGTACTCACAAAAGAGAACATAAAAAACAGCGGAAACAAAAAAGTTACAAAGAGAGGAGAAGAAGACTTGCCCAACACTCTTCAAAGGAACTCGCCTCCCCCGTCTAGCATTCGATTATGAAGTTATGTTTCTTTTTTTTTCGAAATCATATTCAAACAACTTGACCTTCTTAATCTGAACTCCTGAGAGTCAGAAGACAACAATCTTCTTTGAAGGTATTCAAGAGCTATACTTCTTGACAACTTCAGCCTTTCTTCTCTCATAACTATATCCAAATAAGGAATTAGTGTTACATCAGCCAGATAAACGAACAAGAAGCGAATAGCAGCGAGGAACACGCAAGAGATAGAGGATACAAAGAGAAGTAGAGAGAAAGAGGAAGAGAGAAGGAGAGTAACTAGCCAGGAGAGGAGATTCATTGACCTGATCTAGCTAAGGTGCTCAACCCCTAATCTCATAATGAGCCTCAGCTAACATACAACCAAAAGGATTTCCATTTATGAATATATAATATCCATATATTGATTACTCAACATACCATCTTATATCATATAATTAAACCCAGGGCATTAAATATAATATAACAATTGAGGTGAAAATTATAAAATTACCTCCATCAGCAAATCCCATTGACCGACATGCCACACTCGTATCGATACTTGTCCAGCTATAAGACACAAGGATTAGAGATATTTCTTTCTTTCAGATCATAATATCCTTTCCCAAAGATTTACAATCCTTAGAATATTATGAAACCTGACTGTAAAACTTACTTGGTCACCATTGTGCAAACTGATCTCCACCTATCTCGGAACCTCATTTGTAATCTTCCCTACAATACAATCATGAATACTCTTTCTTTATAAGTTTTTCGAACCTGTCGAACAGTTGGACCATCGATGAGTCGAAAATCCGGTAACGTATCATCATAATTGAGTTGTTGTTGATATGGAAGCATTTCAATGTGTGCGAACTCATTTCCCTTAAACGACAAAGCTTAATTGAACGAAGCCTGGTCCCAGTATCTGCCAGGTCAGATTGACCTTGACGTTTGTTAATCTCAAGAATTTGTAGAAAAAACAATTATGAGAGAGAAGAATGCAAAGTAGTTGATGTCTAATTTGTCCTTGTATAGAAATTGTGATGAGATTTCAGATTACGCATGGCTGACTATTCACTTTGGGGGGGAGAGTGTGAAGACAATCAGTTTCTTCATTTCATTCTGCTCATCATCCATCATGCAGTAGAAACTTTTGATAGAATGTTGCAACCTTTCATCCCTTCAGACATTCAATGACCACACCGTTATGTTGTTATCTTTCAAATGACAATCTCTATTCAATAACAAAAAATATCTTTAAAGCAGCTAGAGAGGGAGGGAGTGAAGAAAGCAAGGAAGGCTGTTTGATCTGGTCATGTGTCATCACTTCTGACTCATTTCCCAAATAAAATGAACCGCCATTGTGTTCAAAAACGTCTTCCATAAAATTTGTTGAATTTTCGAAAAAGACAAAGACCATTCTTATTTGAGATAAAAATGTTTCGTTCGACCTGCTACGAAGCATGAGGTAATGGCTTTCGAATTGTTTTTCGCGGATCATAAGCAAGTTGATTCAGACGAGCTTCATCTAATATTTGACTTGCATAACACGACACCCGATGACCTCTCTCTGTCTCTATTGCTAACCTTCTCCCTCATCTCTTTCCAGTATCTAAGCAGAGTGAACTAGAGCTACCGTTAACCCAAAGGTACCACCGTTGATCAAATAAACGAGAAATCGAAAGCAACATTCATACATAGTATAACATTAGCATTCGAAAGAATGAAGCATGCGAAACTGACGACAACTGAGCAGTCTGGGATCTTTTCATAAAAATCGATTGATCATCTGGTAAGAATGACATTCTCCATAGCAAGCGAAAAACGGAGAAAGATAGCAAAACTCAGCCAGCGGCTTAAGATCATGACAATTGACAGCATCCCTTCAATCTATGGCAAACAATCTTGTCTCTCCCGAACAAAAAATCCTTTCAACTTGCCTTATATGGTAGGAAAGAAGAAATACTGATTTAAGAACAAAATACTCTATCTCTTGTAAACAAACGATCTTATCAGCTTTTATTGCGTCAAAGGTTAGACGTCCCGGTCATCAACGATTTGCTCCCCCTCTCTCTCTCTGGTATACCGACAGAGCGTCATGTTCAATTGCAGATTTGTAATTTTTAAAATTTGAAATTCAAAAGTTGCTCAAGCTGGACAACAGACTGTTGCCCTTTGTTTTATCATCTAACAGCGGGCCCAAAAATCATAAAAGCTCACACAGAATTATCACAAAGTATTTTCAAACATGGAATGATAAGAGGTGTTTGAGGAAGTTACATAATGATGAGGTGCACAAAAAAAAGAAAAAAAAAAGATAAATTAAATGTAGAACTCACGATAGCTTGAATGGCTCCTTTGATCTTCAAACCAACTCCAGTATCAAAGTACAGTTGGACACCCGTCTCGATCGTTAAGGTCGCCCCAACTTCAACTGTCAAATCCGTCATTACCCTGTAGGGTGAATTGCGGAAGAACAGTGTGATGTTGTTAGAATAAACTCCTCCAAGAGTATTTCGGATGGATTGTCGAGGCTGTTGGAGTCCTCGATCAAGCGGTACCTGCCCTTGGGGCAGAACCGTCCCATAGTGGGATATTAAAAATAAAAATAGAAGCAATACCCTCATAACAGCATTCAGAATTATAGAAAGTTGGGCTCACAAAACCCGTCGGTAATGAGAAACCACAGAAATTTTACAAATTTTTAATTAAAACTTGAAGAACTGAAAAGAAATAGATATGAATATGAAAACAACGTGACGAAGAATCAAAACGGAGACGTTAAACTGAAGAAAAAAAAGGTTGAGAGATGGATGATTTGAATGGACAAGTCAAATACATTTTCCGGTCCGGAATACAAGTGATAACAGAATGTGAATCATCAATAAGCATCATGAGAACTTTCCATATTTGTTTGTTTATGGAAAAATCGATACAAAATCAAGGAAATCTAGAGATAAATCGACGAAAATAGTAAAAGCTCAGACACTGATCGAGGGTGACCGACTCTGGAGAGCGTTCGGCGACATCCAAATCAGGTAAATCAACAAGAGACGAACAGATGAAGTAATTAGAAGACGGGTAGAGAAGAATAAAATGAAAAAAAAGCTCATGACAGTTAATGTGAAGAGTTCCTCCGAACAGGTGACAAATCTCGAAGTGTCACCGGGATGTTACAGTAACGGATGAAGTCAGCTGTCTCATATGGAGATATGGCAAATCATCAAACGGCTTCTTCAAATCAAAAAAGGTCTATGATCATATGTCCATGTATGGACCAGGTGTGTGTGGGTCCTTCTTCTGACCAATCTATCGATTGAAGGACAAACGGCTTTGTAGGTAGGGCAATCATAGCAGCGTGGTCAGCCATACAAAGGGGCGGAGTCTCTATATGTAGATGTATGTGTGTGTTCTATCTGGAAGAAATAGTTTGAGAAAACGAGAGAGAGCGAGAGAAAAACAATACTTGAAGAGAGAGGTTCCAAAACAAAGAGAGTAAAGATGAGAGGGCAAAGACACACAACCAGAAAGAAGAGAGAAAGCCAAAGCGAGCCGGAGCCCTTTCTTGGCTGGCCGTTGCCAGAGTGACCCTCAGCTGCCGGCAGTGCTCTCCTCCAATATAGTCCCTTTATCTTTCACGAAAAGGGATATAGTCAGACATTCGATGGCATCTACCTATCCCACCAAATTAGTCTCTCTTTGTCTATCTTCTGCTCGTTGTCATATCTCACTCACTTGTTTTTACCTCTGACCTCTTGGAAGTTCATTATGTCCAGCATGACTGCCATTAACTGTCACCTTGATTCCTATTGTGTTTGAGCAAATATATTTATTTGCAGTCTGAAATTATTGAAAAGAAAAAGTGATGAAAACATAATAAAAAAGAATCCAACTTGCCATTCAACTCAACTTCTCCATTTCTATAAAAGGACATGAGAAGAATTATTTTTAATTCGAAAATTACCGGCTGCCATGGTTTCATTCATCCAGGACGCAGATTCTGTGCTGTCTAACTAATTCCCAAAAGACTCCAAGTAACTCCTGCAAATCGATGTGAAATGTTTATCTTTCGTTACCTTTCGATTGAAGGAAATTTCATTTAGTCTCTTTGCATAAGTGCCAACAGCTTTTTCATTTTTTTCCCCCTCAAATCCCTTATAAGCTTAATTGAGTTTGCAGCCTTCTTTCTCTCTCTCTCTCTATCTTTACTTATTATTAAATTGATTAAAGTTATCTGCTCAATTAACCACAGCGAATATATATTTGTGCTCTCTGCTTTCGAACCTCACTCGTCAGATTCTCGAAGATTTTGTTATTTTTGCTTTCGAATGAACTACTTTTCATTCTCCGAGAAGTAATAACGATTGCTTCTATTCCAACCAGATACTACGAGGCATACGTAACGAGTGAGGCCAATTTGTCGCTTGAATAGTTTGCAATCTTTGAAATTAGAAAAAACTTCATATATTTCTGAAAAGAAATCCTTTTCAGACTATGCAGCCACACATCTTCAACAACTATCTACTGGCGCTTGTTGGGCTTTGTGGCATCCTTGCTATTCTCGCTGCATTAACATTACTCATGAATCCGCCCTTACGACGTTTAAAGCTTCGATACTTTCCTGGAGAACAGGAATACGAATTGATTACTTAACAGCTTATGGGTATTCGTACTATCACATCATCTCGTGAAAGCCATTCACTTCAACTCAACTATATTCACTCTCACATTCCACGATATCATGCCGAGAGATTAGCTCTCATAGCAACAAAACTCAGTTACGGAAGATTTTTTCGGCTTTCACATCACTCTCACAATATTTGGCAATACTCTATAATGACATAAATTATGGGTTCCTACCTAGGATTGTCATGCCGGTCAGATACGATCTCTTCCCACACCACATCAATCTCCTAATTACATCATCTAATGATCTTCTCAAAGTGTGTTCTTCTGAAGAAAATTCATATTCCAATAAATATTTATAATCTTACTTCTGTCCGGCATTTGTTTTTCTTGTAAGAAATCTAAGTTGTGAACATGAAAAATGAGACGACACCTCGTTCCTTTAACCAAAATCAACAACTTTCAAACGAACCACTGCAGCTCGTACACATGTGAAAAATATTTTCCAATAACGTTTGCCTCCTTCGTTGTGGTTGACACAAGTCACGGATGCTTTTCTGAAAATAGAGATTGGACAATGCAATTCAAGCCTTAACGTCACGAAATGCCAGACAGGACATCACTATTATCGAGAATGAGTTGTTCATTGAAGAAACATATTTCTTTCTCAGGGCTCTCCGCTTGAATATCAATGAATAAACGCGTGGCGCTTTCCACGTGAATGTCCACGTGATTCTAATGATCTCCATTATGATCTTTTCGAAAACATAGAGCAGTCGCAATCAAAAATTTTTTTTTTAACGCCAAAAAAGACGTTAACGTAGGATTTTGACTTTTTTTTCAACCGAGTTCAGTCCTTATATGATCTTCTTGTGCAGTTCTTATTAAATCCTGACTAGTTAAAGCTCTTTTGGAGGAACTAAGGCAATCAAGCAGCTCAATTAGGAGCCGCTGAAGAAGCAACACTCAGCTCCTGCAAAACTTGAAAAAATGAGAAAAGATTTGGTAATTTTTGTTTGTTTTTAGATTTCATGTTAGAGGATGGACGCAGAACAATCTATCTGTTGAGGATGTAAAGTTTTCATTGCCGCTTGTACTTCGGTAAGGCAAACAGTTGTTTATTTAAATTATTATTTTTAGATTCATTGACATTATCGATGGAGAACTGAACCTCAATCGTGAAATGGCAATCTACGAAAAAAAAAATACGGAGAAGATCTTGCCGACGTTTCGGTCAGAAATAAGGATGAATTCAAAAAATTTCTTAAAATCAAGGTTATTTTTTGAATAAATGTTGATAAATATTGTATTGATAATATAAATATTCATCGAAAAGATCTTCTTGTGTAGTTCTTATTAAATCCTGACTAGTTAAAGCTCTTTTGGAGTAACTAAGGCAATCAAGCAGCTCAATTAGGAGCCGCTGAAGAAGCAACACAATACTAAGTGCGAGTTCAGTAGATAAATTGAAGGCGACAGACCATTTGCCACTCATCTTACACATAACTTAGAAAGTTTATTACAAATCGAGCATTTACAAGTTACACGTAAACAATATCACATTTTGAGACTATCATGTTATTTTATAGTTTAAAGTAGTTTTCCTATATCTTCTGTTGGTTACTACAACCAAAATGGGCAAGGCTACCATCGGCGGGGTAACGAACGAAGGCACTGGAATACAAAATGATATTTACTTCGTCAAAAACACAAAAAAACATACCAAATGCCGATTTTCTTTTTACAAACTTTACATTCACTAGAATTGGTTACTACTATTTTAGTACTTTCAGCGTTTTTCAAACGCGTTTCCGACATCTCTACCGCTGCCTCGCATATCGCTCTTCTTATAGAATACTGAAAACTCAATAGATCATTGAAGAACAGCTTCTGAAGGGACATACAGCTGTAGCTTCATTATGAACTGTTTGAAGAACAGCATTTAAAGCTTTCGATAGCATGGCCAACGGAGTATCCGTCGGTAAAATGGAAAGAGCCGTAACTGAATTGGAGGCAGTTATACGTTTCTTCATAATCTACTAACTTGTCTCTATTTTATCTGCATAGAGCCCCAGAATTTTAACAGCACTTTGTACATCTGGGGCTGGAGCTGGCAGAACATGTTCGGTCAAACCGGACACAGCAGAATCGGAAGGGCAAACGTATGATTTGAACCAAAGCACATAAACCTGAAAACATCTCTATGCTCAGCCTCACCCCTCCTGCTTACTTTTGAATCATATTGATCGTTCTTGTCATAGAACAGTTCACAATATTGTTCCGCAGCTCCAAAATCTGACAGAACCGAAGTATATATGTTCAAAGCCTAGAAAAAGATGTTGATATGTGAAAGCCTTTTTTCCCCAACTTGTTCGTGCTGCTTTAAACGTCCAAGGATCAAAGCTCTTTCTTCATAAAAAGCTGAAAAGAAGGATAATGCTTGATAGAACGAATTGAGAAATTACGATGTTTCTTCAGCTGGAACAAGATGGTTTGGGGATTGTACGAAACAGAGAACTTCAGGAACTTGATGAGTTTTTTTCGATAAATTCCCAAATCCCCGTGCTCTTCTCCCGCCTTATCCATAACTTGTTCTTAAACACAAACTGAAGCAGAGATAAGAGTGAGAAAACGAACCATCTCTGAAAGTGTGAGTATATCCATCCATCAAGTTTCTTACTTTGATCACGTAGTGCTCGACGAGATTCTCGTGAATATAGGGAGAGTTGTCATTCCAAACATAGACCAGATGTTCCAAATATGGAACGACAGCTTGGATACAGTTCTCAGTGAGGAAATTCAGAATACGACTTCTGTCCAAAGTTCTGGCAACATCAGAATCCTCCCCAATGAAAATCTAAAGTAGAGAATGATCGAAAACTCATCAGAACTAGAAGCACCGATAATCCATCATCAATCTCTTTTTTGAGAATAAGTTCAGCATAATAGAAAATGAGCTCCAAGTGATTATTTCCTAAGCTTTGAAGATAATCAATAAGTCTTCCAGATCCCTAAATAAGGAAATGAGTTGAGAGTGATAACTTAGTTCAAACTTTGAAGAATGGCTCAGGATCTGGTTTCTCCATTTCAGTATATAACAACTCCAATGCTGTAACACTAGGGTTAATGAAGTTGCTCATAACGAAACGATACCCATTTCGTGCTTTTTCCTAGTTTCATATAATATGAAGAGAGATGAAATCCTTTTTTCACTCAATAGAATATTCTGAGCATCTTCGAAAAAACAAGAGTTGTTATGAAGACGCAACAAAGAGTCTACTAACATTGGATTAGTCTGCAAGACTTCTTTTAGATTTTCAATAATGTATTTCAATGATACCTTCAAATAACATTTTAAGAGTGTAGTATCAACCATTTGAAGCTCAATTTGCAATTTCTGAAAATCAAATTCACTTATGAGTTTAATGCAGAGGAGCTCATTAGCATAATAAGCTGAGTTCCATTTTCATTTTGATGTGCGCTTCACGCGGATCGGTTGTGTTATTCTGTTTTAAACATCAAACGAACGTACTTCAGCTTGTTCTTTAGTTAAAACTACTGGGTTTTTAATATTTTTTCCTCTACTGCTCTGATCCAACTTCTGTGTATACTCTGTTCGAATCTGAAGGAAAATGTGAAAACAAACTCTGCAAAGGGTAAAGATACTTCAGAGAGATACTTGCTTAAAGCGATCAAAGCTCTTTTCTTCACATTCGCAGGAAATTTGAAAATATCCTCGTTCTGTCTGTATTTTTCGGGCAGCAGTTCCGGGAAAAGCTTGATGATGGAGATAACATCTGAGCAGTGCAGCAGTGTAGCGAGTTCAATAGTTTGGCTTTACCTGTTTTAATTTCTCTATGAAGTGCAAAGCCTTCTTCGAATTTTCCCAGATTGAAAAGATTCAGAGCTGCCTGTTTTTTCATTTCGCTTCTCTGATCTTCCGAATAAACACTAGATCCATCCTAATGTGAAATTCAAATCATCCTATTCCCTAGATGAACTTACAGCTAATTGAATGGCGAGATCAAAATGCTTTTCTTCAATCAATTTCTCCACTATCTTCTTCACATTTCCACTACAGTCCAACACCCATAAGCATTTGGAACTTCCGACATAGAGTTGTCCTCTGAATTTAAGAAGTTATGAGAGAAGTGTTCGAAGCAAACTAACAGTGTTCCATTGCAAACGTATTGGGCTCGATTCAGTTTTATACTTTGGATGAGTAGTGGAGGATTCAAAGAATGTACCTCGATTTGGCCTTTACCTAATATTGCTATCAAGAAGGGCGAGTCATAAGCTATGCTAATTGGAGTATCCGAGAATTTGACTTCACACTTCACAAGGTTTTTATCCCCTGGTTCGAACACTACTAAAGACTCTCCACGACACAGACCAATCTTCAATTTGATCAGTTAAGCAAAAATAGATGGTGATCCTACCAAGCCTTGGTTTTTCTGGTCAATAACCACTAGGGGACCTATGGTAGTTGATAGCCTTGTTACTTCTCCTAACCAGGTCTTGAAATGAGAAAGTCTTTAAGAAACAGTGAAGATTATACCTCGCCTGTGCTATTCGTTTTCTCTCTGAATTGGATAATGAAGCATTCGTCACGAACAGTGAAAACGGCAAAGTCACGACAAAACCTAAAAGATACAGTGAAAAAGCTTAGCTGAGAAAAACAAGAAACCGCAAGTTTGAAGGATTATCGGAAAAGGCTAATGAACAGTTGAGCTTGATTTCTTGGAACTCATTATCACATCCTGCTTCTGATCCTATCCATTTAAATAAAGACAAACGCTTCTTTGAAGACAATAGAAAATATATCGAATTCTTATCCTAAACAAAGGAAAGAGTCCAGAGCCATATCAGAGAACCTACCTTTAACTTCATGACCACATAACTATGGACGGGCTTTATTTTATACAAAACACTGATGGTTGGGAAGCTTGTATCGGCAAGATTATGAACTCGTAACTGTAAATGACCGTTGAGGAAACATAGATCTGTAACCCACTGTTCCATCTGACACACATATGATGAACTCTTCCTCTTCACAAACTGTCAAATCCATGACTGCTTTCCTCGCGAACCCACGACAGCACATGGGCTCGAAACTTCGTTTGCCTAAGCTCGTTTTATAACTTTCGCAACTACAGGAAGTGTATACTTGGAGTGTAAAGGAACAAACTGCCATCTTTGCTGCCGGCATAAACAGTTTTAGAGGATTCTAAAAGTATTTTTCATAGAGCTATGATTAACCACCAAAACATACTTTGACATGCTAATGTTGAGACTTCCGAAGGTAAATTTGATGAAATCTCTGTAACCGAATAAGCATCGAACATCCTTTTTTCTTTTTTCTTCGAATTTTTACTTTAAAACTTTGAATATAAGGACATCGAAGTCTCGAAATAATCAACTTTTCATGTTTCCCCCTCTCATTTCCGCATACTGTCACGAGACGACATATCGCGTATTTGTTTCACGCAGTAAATTGGACATAGCAAAAGCTTGATCCATACTCATCCGTTGATTATATAGTCTTTTATACTCACATTTGTTTGTAGAATTGAATAATGGCCGAGAACTTACCTATTGATATTCATTCCGCCAAGTTATTGGGTGAGTAACCTTTTCCTTACTTCACCCTCATGCTTTCCTTGAAGATTGGCTTATAAGTCGACGACATTGCAACAAACACTGGCAGAAAGATGCTCTTGTGATCAGAGAAAAGATTAAACATGCCATACAAGTATTCCCTTTTCTATCTTTTCTCACCCAATCCCAAATCTTTAGGATATGCCCGAAAATGACAGAATAATTAACTTACTACAAGGAAGTTGTATGTTGCTTTCCGTTGTTCGTCCATTCGGTTAAAAATTGAATGTTCAGATATCAATTACTTCCATTGTGTTGAGATTATCGATATCTTGAAGGAGACAGAGAAAGATAGCAAGAATTTCCTTGGTTTCTACTCATCACAACGCATGAAAGATTGGCAGGTTTGTCTTGAGCCATCTTCTTCCCCAACCCCATCTCGTTAAGGAAATTCAATCGTTGTACAAAAAAGATAATGTATATCTAGCTGAATCAGCTCAAATGCTCTCTCGCTTGATCATGTTTGATATTCCTGGCCTGAAAAGAACTCTATTGAAATCCAATAATGCCATTGATGTGAGTTGGAGCCTGCAGAGCTCTCATTCAATCCTTCCAATTTACAGGATGCAGTTAAAAAAGAGAAAGAGTATCTGAAACAGAGTGAAGATGCCAGAAACAATTACAAGAAGGAGTTGAAGAAGTTAGGTCTCAAAGTATGCTTCTGTTCACTTGACTTCTTCTCATCAACTACGGTTTTTAGGGAGAAGCCCTTCGCCGAGAGTTTCTCGAGCTCGCTTCTGATGTGCCTTCTTTGTGTGGCGAAATTTCGAACAATATTATCTCGCTTAATGAAGCTTGTCAGTATTATTCCAAGTTCAGAGATTATCTTGTTTCGTAAGTCTAATAATATCATATCGTTTATTCGATCTTTAGCGGAACATCAACTAAAATCTTACCTATGCTGAACTTCCTCAACGAGAAAGGTGTCGACGTCACAACATTTGAATGGACTTATGGAACTGCTCCAGAACGTGTTGAGCCTGTGAACTTCGATCTTCTGATTAAAGCAGATATGGTAAAATCTTCGAACCTATAGTATTACCTCTGGATTCGCTCTTTAGGAAACCAACTCAGCAGATGACGATGATGAGATTGACTTCGGTGATGACGACGAAATCGACTTCGGAGGAGATGACATTCAAATTGATATCATAGGGGACGACACTCGTGAGTCGCTCTTCCAATTTTCCAATCACATATTCGATTTAGAAGGTAACACCAATACGGTTGCTCGTGGTGAGGAGGCTATGAGCCTTGTTGAGAACTTGAAAACTCAAAAGCAATTGAAAGTAGAGTTGAACGAGGTTTGAGATTATATCAGTCGAAGATTAAACTCTACTTGTTTCAGCTCTTAAGTTTCTTGTCCATGAGAAGAGAAGACGAGGCCAGAGAAACGGCTGTTGACCTTCTGATTCGAAACACTGAACAACGACCTGTCGACTTAAGTAAAGTCTCTGTAGATCAAATGGATAAATGGATGAAGAAGATTAGAGACGTTTTAGAGAAGTTGAATAACAAGCAAACTCAACACCTCTTCAACATTCGATCTTCTCCCCAGTATGTTTCACGTTGTGCGCCTGTAATCATTCGAACTCATTAAGATTTGTGGAAAAATTAGTCACTGATTTACAAGTTAAAGAATCCCTTGAAGGTCGTTGCAAAAAGTATGTTGAAAGCTTAGATTCCTATATGAATGGTTAACTCAGGATGGCAGACCTCCAAGTCCAAGAACAAGAGTCTATGCGAGACCAGGTTCAACAGAGTAGCATCCAGCAGAAGACTGTTATTGAAAGCACAAGACAGTTACAGAAGCAGGTATTGAGTTAGCAGTTTGTTCTAATTCATATGATGCGGTTAAGATTGAGTCGGAGATTTCTCAGAAGTATAACGGTCGTCGTGTCAATATCATGGCCGGTGTCAACAGTGTCGCCTAAAGAAAACGTTGTCTGTTGTGATAAGAAGACATTACGTGAGAGGGATTTTGCTTACAGACGATTATTTATTAATTTATTCAAAAATTCTGTGATTTCTAAAGCATTTGTAATAAAGGGGATCAAACAATTCTGTCTTTTCTTATGCAAACCATAGCAACATTCACGAAACACCTTCTTACACAAACCCAATCTACTCTCCTCTCCCGATTCGTATGAATGGTCACCTGATTAATATACTCAATATATTAATAATAAGTTCAGTTTGATTCTTCTTATTATCACCAACCTTCTATTTCAAGCTGTTGCTGCTAATGAAGGCGAATTATTCAACAGGATCATTCGGAACTATGACAAGTCCATCAGACCTCAGAAGAATGGTTCCGTTACAGCAATTACTGTCTTTCCCAGCTTATTCTATCTTCTGACAATGGTTCCCAGCTCTCTCTTTTTTTCGTTTCCACTGAAAGTGTTGAAAAATTATAGAATGAGGTAGAACAAACTGTGAGATTCTCGATCGATTTCACATTTACCTGGTATGATCCGATTATCGCCTGGAACCCTAACACAGTGGTAGAGTCGAACAGGTCAGCTTATTATCTTTGCTGCAGACCATTGGTGAACATCTTCAGAACATCCTTGAAGATCCCTGAGTATTATCTGTGGCAAGCAGATCTAGCCATATTCTCCAGGTAACTAAATAATGGTTCTGATCTGTTGTACTTCCTTCAAAGCATATCTCGGACTGACCTTATACCTTACAATAAAAGAATCATCCAAGTATCATATGAGGGCAAAGTTGTCAAGAGTGGACCTCAGGTGCTTCCACTATCACAACTTGGACAGTTTGTCGTTTATTCAGGTTGTTGTCAACCCTTGTAAGGTGGAGATAAGGAGCTTTCCTTTCGATCGACAAGTGTGCGAGTTTCGATTAGGTCCATGGAGTTACACCAATACAGAAGTCATATTGGTATATCCCTCCTCATTTTTTGAGCCATCTGCAGATTTTTTGGTAAGGCACCTCCTCCTAACTGAAAACAGTTGCTTTCCAGGGAAACTCTGAGTGGGAGTTTCTTAATATGAGCATTTACAAGCACATTGAAGATCAATATGAAGAAGGGAACTATGATGAGGTGAGCACAGGCAGTGCATTTCACGTTTCCTTTGCAGTTGGTTTTCACAATAAACCTAAAGAGGAAAAGCACCTTCTATGTTTTGGCGATCATTGTTCCAACATTTGCTTGCACAACCCTCTGTCTGTTCGGTTTCTTCCTTCCTTCCGACATCACTACATTCCGAACTGAAAAAGTAAGTGTTTACAATGATCCTAGACAATTAGAGAATTCTAGGCAACATTAGGAATTTCATCACTTCTAGCCATGTCTCTTATTTTGGAAACAGTGACAGCTAACATGCCAAAAAGCAGCAAATTACCTTTATTAGGTATTTGCGAGTAGAAGATCGAAGATCTGTGAAAGAAATTTTAGGATTCTTCGTTCTTTTCGAAATCATTCTTTGTGCTGTTGCTATGTGCGTTTCTTGTCTCTTTTCCTTCTTGCACGAGAGGTACAAATTCTTCCCTCCTAATGACTACGAATGATGTTCTAGAGCTACAACTAGACAATGGAGGCCGCCAGTGAGACTGCAAAAGTTATTTTTATACCGTGGCTATGATAGGAAGATACGACATGTAGATGCTTCATTGCAAAGCTCAAACGAGACTGGGTAGGTGGTGGTAATATGGCTCTGTAACCGTCTGTTCAGAGACTCGTCCTTGGGGGAATCGCTGAAAAAAATCTGCAACTTCCTTCGCTGTTCCATTTCAGATGAGAAAATTCAAGATATGTGGAGTCGAATATTCGAAAGAATTGATGTCATTTCGTTAATACTCTTCCAATCCATCAATGTTATCGCAACATTAATAATCTTAATTTGAAAGAACGTATTGTTTGAATGAATAATTTATTCTCCGGATAGATGAAAATTCGAGAAACGGAGGTGGAGAAATACATACATAGAAGTTGGCGAAGTTCATAACGGACCACTTTCGTTAGAAAAGAAATCACTTCAAAGCTTTCCAATATCAACATAGAAAACTACAGTAGAGTAGAAGAGAGAAGAAGGGGGGGGGTTTATACATGTTGACGAATAGAGTAAGCCCTGGAATCAGGATGGTAATGTATAGAAGCTGGAAAAAAACTACAATAATCTATGATTAAAGCCATATCTCAATCTTCTAAATAAAAACTATTACGAAGGGAATCGGATTGTCGTTTAAGGCTTAACTATCATCTTCTTGTGTACATCCAAGTTACCAACAACCTGAAAATAAATTACAACTTAAACCTGTTTGATCAAGTGCTTCATTAGATATATGCTTGCATTTTTCATTTTGTAAAAGAATACCTTCAACGCTAGGTGAATGATGAGTAGAAAAGCTTAATGATATCCGATATTGGTAGTTGTCAAAGATATTTTTAGTTAATTATGGACGTAATTAGAGAACAAGTAGTGAAATATTCAAAATACAATCATATATATAAATATATATATATAAACTCATTTAAATTTATGCACAAAATAAAAATTCACACTTGACGAGAGCAATGAACGGTGCACATTAAGCATGAAGAATGTTGTCGGACAGAAATATACATAAATATTAATGAACACTTCAATATAAAAAAAATTTTTGACTAGTTCGCAGGCCAGATGAAAGAATCACAGCAAGGAGTCAATTGTGGGTAGAAAGAAAAAGGGTTGGAAATGAAAAAAGATTGGAGAGGAGACGATAGATTTCGAAAAATAGGAAGAGAGAAAAATAAAGAGAGAGAGAAAGAGAGAGAAAGAGAGAGAGAGAGAGAGAGAGAGAGAGAGAGAGAGAGAGAGAGAGAGAGAGAGAGA